GTTTCCCAGTCTCAGCCTGGTTTGGACTCCTCAGACAGGTTTCCCAGTCTCAGCCTGGTTTGGACTCCTCAGACAGGTTTCTCTTGGCCCTCGACAGCTGGAGCTGTGTGTTTATGAGGACCGGCCCACACACAGTCTTACAGACGGTCTGTTCCTGTCTACAGTTACAGGATTGATTTCTACACCTGCCCACAGGTCCAGAACCTTCTGAGAGTCCTGTACGCTGTGTGGTACCTGTGCAGGTTCTGTAAGTCTCAGACGGTCCTGTACCTGTGGACGGGTACAGGACCGTCTGAGACTTACAGAACCTGCTTTACTGCAGTGATAAACTGAAGGGCTGGAGAAGCCAGGTGTTTCTGAAGAGTAGAAAAATCTGAAGGAAAATAGTGATTTTTTTACAGAAGTGATGGAATCTAATGGATCAGTTTAAAGTCTGATACTGTGCAACAGAAAGATGGATTCCTTCATACTGTGTGGTTTGAAAGAACACTTGATGTTAGTGAAATGTTAAGAAGATGGTGATAAAGCATCCAGAACTTACCAAGAATCTGAGGAGAGGCCTCGTGTTCCTGGATGATCACATGTCTCGCTCCAGGTGGAACAAGAAACATCTTCAGGAAACCTTTGGCAGGTTTGCAGCAGAAGCAGCAGAAGCAGCAGAAGCAGCAGAAGCAGCAGAAGCAGCAGAAGCAGCAGAAGCAGCAGAAGCAGCAGAAGCAGCAGGGGTTCAAACAAGAAGACAGGAGTTAAACAAACAGAAACAACGTGCTGCAGTGGTGGACATCAAATGTTTTACAGAAGTTTCTTTTGCTTGAAAAGATGTTTGAAGCAGAAACAAAGTGTTGACTTTATTTCTCACAGCTGAAACCTGCAGGTAAAAACTAAAAGYCAGCTTTATTCAGATCCATGTGAGCAAACGGCCCGTGGTCCTGTGTTTGGGCTCGGCTCCATCCTGCGCACACAGGAAGTGAATGAAAACAGCTTGGGCCGACGTTAACAGCTTCATGAGACTACAGAGCAGCAAAAGGTCCTTCTGTAGGGATGTCCACCACTCCTAAAGCCTCACTCACTCACCCAGAACATTTGGAGAGTCCTCGCTTTCATTTAAAAACACATTTCGAGCTCCTTTAGGTAAAGAAAAGGCTCCTCTGGTCTTSCCTTCAAATCACATCAAAGAAAAGGAAGTTAGTTATCATTTAAGACCAGAACCACAGTGATGGATCTGCTGTGTGAACCGGACCGAACCACAGCAGCTCTGTGACCGGACTGAACCGGACTGAAGCTGAGTGATGACAGCCCTGGTCCTCACTGACACTCTGCTGTGACTCAGGTGATCACACTGAGCTGGGAGGCTGAACATGGAGCAGTAAAGTTTCAGCTTTCAGTAAATCCTGCTGGAAATGACCAATCAGAAGCCAGATGGTTTCCAAAGGTCAACAGGTTGGTTTCATTTGACATTTTGTTTCTGCACATTAAGCTAAAGTTAGTTAGTTAGGCTGTATTTTGTCCACATATAACAAACGTGACGAACAGAAGCACACAGACGTGTCATTAGTAACATGAAACATGTCTACAGTTAAAATCTTTCTGCTCTACAAGCTGCAGGAACACCAGATACTTGCATAGTGGGGGTTCCAGCAATGGGGGCTCAAACTGGGCTCTCTTGCTTAACTGTTTTCCTGTTTAAAAACACCAGMGGTTAATAAAAAACAAGGTAAGCAAGTCCATAATGTCCCTTTAAAGGTCTGGTGGTGCTGTTCCTTCCAGGATCTCAGGTTTGACCTAATTTCACACTGAAAGGTTGTCCCCAAACCACAAAAATGTTTCACTTAAATCCATTTTAATGAAGACTGAGTTTTAAAAGAATCAGGAATTTACTCATCATACATTCAGGTTCACAGAGTCAGTTTCTCCCTGCTGGCAGAAGCTCAGTGCACCAAACRTAATTAATTTACAGAGTGTGTTTGTGCACAGTGAAGCTGAACATGGAAGAAAGTCCTGCTCAAACAGGTCTGTACAAAGTGTTTGCTCAAAGTCTTAATTTAACTCTTCTTTTTATTCAAAACTGAACTATTATAGACTTCCCAATACGTGATTAAATTAATAAAAGACCTAATTTGTTCTTTTTTTATTAGTCAGAGTTTGAAATGAAAAGCTGAGTATTTCTATTCTGTATCATTTAAAGGAAATTAATGTGCAGCTTCCAAACATTTAGCATCAATCATCTAATCGTTTCACAGCAGGTGTCTTCAGTCTCACAGCTGGTTCACCCATTTCCTTTCAAACTTCATTCATTCCATAAAAACAAACATCCATGTACAATAAAAAAGAAAATACACATAAAATGAAATGAAAGGCGGTAGAGAGAAGAAAAAATCTTATAACATCTGCCACTTTTTTCTCAAGTATAAATTCTAATAACTATAATAATCATCAGTTAAAACAAAACACTGAACCTTTCTGGAACAACAAATTGAATGGCTGCATATTAAACCACTTCATATTTTTAATAATCTATTCTTTATCACCCAGACAAAACCCAGAGGAGAAAACATCCAAATATGGGCTTTTTATACTAAATTACTGACAATGATTACTGTTAACTGTGAACTGTTTCTGTCCACAGAAAACAGATCTGTGGAAAAAACATCCCATGAATGAAGACAGCAGGGTGAGTTAACTCTAACCCTAACTACGGTTAGCCTGCTCTTCAGTTAGCTCATTTACWGGAAAACAGAAATGTTGTCTTTCTGTGTCAGGAACAGCTTTTGTTGCTGTGGTGAGGACTGATCAGTATTAGTGGAACATTCACTTTGTTCAGCTGAATAAATGAGTTCTGCAGAGCAAAGCTCATCTTCATCAGAACAACACTTAGTCTTCACCTGATGAGCTCATCTGTTCATGAAGGGGTGAGGATTGTTGAACAAAGTAAAAAGCATGACCTTTGACCCACCCGCCTGCAGAATATTTGGTATGCAGGGTATAAAACTGCAGCATGGCTCTGGTTTAACAGCCTTTCATAGAGATAACGARGCTGCTGTGATCAGTTAAAGGTTCCTTGCACTTTAAAACAGGACAGCTCTCAGGTTCTCTCCATTTTCCTCTGACAGTCAGTACAATCAGGAAAGAATTCTTCATCCAGCTTTAYCCTGATCTGCAGTGTGTCTTTGAGTCACTGTGCAGTTAGAGGGTTTCCTCCACAGTCCACTCAACTGCATGGRTTCTTTCTAAACCTGGTTGAATTTAAGAAAGATAAGAAATGAGTGGGGAACCTAGCTAGGCTAAGATGCCAAAACCCGATCACTTCCACAGGAAATGGGAGGTGTTTTTTTTTTCATGTTGTCATATTCAAAGCGTGTTTGCTGAAAAGTGAGCTGGGAAAGAGAGAAAAGTGAAGGAACTAAAGTCTCAGTAGTCTGGACAGCAGTCACTGTTGTCACAGATGAGCACAGAAGTGAAGGCAGCCTCTGAAGCTTCCTTTAGTTTGAGTCACCCAACTGTTAAACCTACGAAGTCCTTCCAACYTAGAGAGGTGGTTAAAATCACTCCTTAAACCAGATGACTTGTTTTCCAAGGTTTTAAAAACAAACCAGAAATGGTGTTTTTAATCAAAGCTCTCCAGATATGGAGAAATACGGTTACATGCTTACATGCTTACATGGTGCTCTGAAGCCATTGTTGAGGACTTGAACCAGCAACTTTGGAAAGATACTGCAGACTGTGAGTGTTTTTCACTGCAGTCAGACGAGTCAACAGACGTGACACTGCCCAGTTGTGTATTTTTATTCAGATGGTGTTTACTGATATGATTGTAAAAGATSAGCTGTTAACAGGACTGCCCATGAAAGAACACACATGGGGACAGGACAGTTTTCAATCRTTTAAAAACTTTATTGAGAAAACCCAACTCCCTGTGTTTAAACTGGTCTCCATCACCACAGATGGTGTGCCCATGATGGTGGGCCGCTCTAAAGATTTATTGTCAAGTGCATGGAGGACGATGCTGTTCCTGACTTCCTCAATTACCATTGAACAATACACCAACAAGGGTTATGTGCAAAAATGCTCGACATGGACYAAATCATGGATGTGGCAGTGCACATCCATGATCTGATGAGAGAGATCTGATGTGCACGCTACACAGACCTGTCAGAGTTTGACACTTTCCTTGAGCCAGTGGCTACATTCATGTGCTACCCTTCTCAGGAGAGGTTGAATCACYCTCATCAAAAACTGCAGCATGGTTTCCTCTGAACTCTTCTGGAGTGGAGGATCAGATGTTAACACTACAAACTGACAATCAGATGAAGTCCAGGGCTTGTGGACAGTTCAGGGGTCGGATTTATAAAACTGGCGTATGCACAATTTGAGCCCAGAAACTTGCGTACGCCACTTTTTACGCCAAGGTTGTGATTT